GATTTGAAAATGGAAAAACACTTAATTTTTTATATTTTTTATTAAAAATTAAATGTATAACATCGATGCATAAACACCTGCATTTTATGTCCGTGTTAAAAGCTGTTTAAAGTAACAAATTATAATTAAAAATGTCTTCAGACCTTTACTGGTTGTTGATTTTCTTTATTCGGACCACGCTGATTTTTAATTGGTTACCCCTGCTATAGAGATTATACTGATGATCAGAGCACATCTCAGGAGGCATTTAGTTTTTTTTATTTCATATCTTGCAATTTAGTAGCTGTAATAAATATACCTTAAAACCATTAGATTTTTCTTCAGGTTATAATACTGTCAGAATGTGATACCAACCCATGCCCAGTCAACAGTTGACCCTAAGAGAGGAAAAAAAACCTTTGAAGGAAGGTTTGTTGTGTACCTTGTTGTTGCTCTTTCGCCACATTTTTAATCATTGCAGACATGATGTCCCTCAGCTTGTCTGTGGTTCCAACAACACACCAGCCATCTCGCTCGTCACACACCTGCTCCTGACCGTTGTTCTGATTTATCACCTCTTTGATACTGGAAAAGCAGACAGAGTCACGTTTTCAAACATCGATCACAAATGGGAAGAGTTTTAAAGACTTTTAGGACTCTTCTTTTGGTACCTGTCCACCTCCAAATCACAAAGCTGGTAGAACATTTGCCTGTGAGGAGGAAGCATCCCTTCCCTAAAGATGTAAGCAGACTCCTGCAGGAGAAAATGGATGAAAATGCTTTAAAAAAACATAACTCTTTATTTACTGCTTTTTTGTTTCAAGCTTTCATGTTCATTCAAAGTGCTTTTAATTAAAGAAACCAACTTGTGTATATATTTTCTCTGGTTTGATTCTTGCCTAACCTTCAGCTGGTAGGAGACCTGAGCAGATGGGAGACTGGTGCTCGGTGCTTCTGGTGCAGGAATATCCATCAGACTAGCAGATGGAGGAGCTGAAAGGAAAGAAAATAATCTCGAGACTTCAAAGGGTGACTTTTAATGTCTTCTTCAATCTCAAACTCAAAGAAAAGTATTTGCATCCCTTACCAATTTCTTTTTTTGTAGCACTTAAAGGTAGTGTGAAGGATTTTCTTGAATTTTTAAAAGACCTGCCCTCTCCACTTAAAAAAATGTGTGTGCGAGAGCATGCACAAGCCCATTTGTACTCGTGCGCACACTGTTTAAAAATTGCCTTTCTCATAGCTCATACCAGCTTACTGTGTCCGAACGTCCACCATAAATCCCTCAATCACTATATAGAGCGGGGACTTTTACCCCATTTACACTACCCTTGAAAAACC